TGCGCCTTCAGTGCCCAAGTTTACCGCAAAAATGGCATTTGTCATTGTCCTTGTCTTTCTTCACTCCTCTAGTAGGTTTTATACCTTTTGAAGTTGATGCCTTTTCATCCTTGCCTTTCTTAGAAAATTTTCTTTTCTTATTTTTATTTTTCTTAGAAGAGACAAGATAAACAGAAGGCTTCTCCTTCATAATGGTGTTTTCAGCCTCTGTGAGCATATTCAATAAGTCTGAAAGTGTTACCTCAATCTTGTTCATGTTGAAGTTCAACACAAACTGTGAATAGCTCTCTAGTAGTGAAGAAAGTATAAGGTCTATGTTCAAATCATGATCCATAACCCAACCTAACTGCTCAAGTTGAGTGATATATCCTATCATCTTAAGCACATGAGGCCTTACTGGGCTTCCCTTAGACATCTTACATCAGAACAATTCCCTTGAAATGTCGAATCTCTCTATGCGACTTTCCTTATTGATCATTTCTCTAAGGTTTAAGATAATATCAAGAGCATTCATAGCTTCATGTTGCTTTTGAAGATCTTGAGCTATACTAGCCAACATCAGACATGTGGCTTGATCGAGATCATCTATACAAACTTTATAGGCCTCCTTTTCTTCATTTGTAGCATCATTACTAGGTTCCTCAAGAACAGGACCATCTAGGACATAAGCCTTCTTCTCTTGTTTCAAGACAATCTTGATATTACGAGACCAGTCAATGAAATTTAGGCTTATCAACTTGTTTGCATCAAGTATGCTTCTAAGTGACAAACTATTTGCCATGATAGATTCATATCCTATATAAATCAACATAAATGATTATTAGTCATTAATGCAAATTATATAATCATAAAGACAATGTTTTAAAATCTTATATGATTATTCTCAATATTTTATCAAAATAATAGCCTTCCTCTACTATTTTGAGAAATTTAACCTTTAAACTTCTTCTTGAGCTAGGAACCTTTTCATCCCACCACGACCTTGAGTGACTCAACAAGCCATAATGAAACTAATTAGGTAGGTAACTTAGC